AAGAAGAAAAAACAATTAACAACTGAAAAAGGAGAAGAAAATTAACAGAAACATGAAAAAGAAAACTAAAAAAGAGCTTACATATGAAGATAGAAGCTCAAATTTAACTTTAAGAAAAAGAACCAAGTGGCTGCAATAAAATAAGAAAACAACGGTGAAACCTAAACTGTCCCTTTTCTTCTTCATGCTTCTAATCAATCAGTTGATTTCTCTATATTGATGCCCAGCTCAAACCCGAACTATCCCTTTTTTTTCTTCTGCAAAGCTTAAACAATGGAAAAAAAGTTGCAGACATAAACGAGGTAGAGAGATGTGACATACTGTCTTCAAAGTTGCACACCATTGCATCAAAGCTTAAACGATATGTAGACAATTTGAAAGGAAAATATAGAAAAAGAAAAATGTTATCTAGTCAGGACTCAAACATGGCATGCATTAAATGCAAAATGTAGCCGTTAGTATATTTTTTAGGGTTTTATCAATAAAATCTAATTTATTTATAGTTTTGACCCTCATTTTTCAAAATATTATATATCGACCCCCGGAAAATTTCTAGGTGATAATAATAGTATAATTAAATTTTGATTATTTCGCAAAAATATGAACGTTGCATGTGTTGGCACAAAGAAATAATAATAAAAAAAAAGGTAAGAAAAAGACAGGAATCATATTACTGACATTAAATTTTTGGACACCATTACCACACATGGGTCGGATACATTTTTAATATTCCTAAAATAATGTTTAATGGATTTAAATCTTATTAATATATTAATTAATTAATTGAGATTTATGCAGTTCATTAGTGTGGAGTTGAATGGCCTCCATATAAAGGGCATTGCCATAGGAAGAGAAACCAGAATAGCATTATAGCAGTAGCAATCATAATAGCTTCTTTATGGGTAGTAAAGCATTAGTATTAGCAATCCTGCTAATAAGCTTGTTGGGTCCTGCTGAGCCAAAAAGGGTATTAGACGAAGATATTCCAGATGATTTTAGTCGTAGATATTTTCCTCCTGGCTTCACTTTTGGTACATCCACTTCTGCTTACCAGGTATAGATGGTTAAAAATTTTCTTCTATGTTTAGAGTGAAATTTCTTCATGTTTTATCCTTTTCAAGAGTTAGATTATGCATGCTGCAGTTCTAATTTCTTCGTTATTGGAAATAGATGACGACTTGTTTAGAGTGGACTTATATTTATTGTGGATAATAGGTTTATAAAGGATATATTAGGGAAAAAATTAACTGTTGTATTCAAATAGTAAAATGAAAAATATTTTGAAGCTTAAGAAAAACTAAAAAATGAACAATTATTCAAGGAACAGATGGAGTAATAATATATGGTATATCTTTAGATTGAAGGTGCAGCAAACAAGTTCGGCAGAGGACCTAGTACTTGGGATGAATTTACCCGCGACTTTCCAGGTTCTTTCTCTTTTTCTTTTTCTTTTTAGATATTACAATATAAAACTTATTTATTTATTTATTGAAAAATTAAATGAGCTGAGACTGTGAGCTATATATAATAACAATAACTCTTCATTGATCTCACTGAATTGATGAAAACTCTTATGGTATAGAGGATTTGAACTTGAAATCTCGATCTTCATATAAGGAAATCAACGACATTGCACCGGATTTAAATATATTAATATTTCTATATGATTTTATATGCAACTATTATTTTTTTAATATTGTTTAAATGCATTCTTTGATTGGAAAGTCAACCAATAAATTTCTTGGTTTATTTGACATTTTATATTACATTTACCAACCAATGCACGTGTTTTTATTTTATTTTTTTTGAAAGAGATCTTTTTTGTTTTGATTATGAGTTTATGGCCGATCATATAACAATATCATTAATTAGTGCATCATTTAAAATGGTTGGTCTTCCAAACCTTATTATAATGTTAAATTATTTAATGATTGATAAGCTGATTCTTATATAACAAATCTCTATTTGTTTTTTTTTCTTCCTCAAACTGAAGCAAAAAGCTCCAATAGAAAACTATAAGAAAGAAAGAATATACAATCCTATTTAATGTGATTTTGAAATAGAAGACCTGAAAGTGTAGTTGGTAATTTAAAATGATATATTTTTAAAAATAATTTAAAAAATCCACCAATATTTAAATTTTTAAAATTTGATATGAATTCCATTTAAATCGACCCAATTTTTTACAATCGAAATAATAGATTTTAATCAAATCCAAATCCAAATACAAAATTATACAATCAACAAGTGAAACTTATAGAATAAGATATTATTGCTCAATCTGAAATCAGTATATATAGGGTGTAGACTTTTTTTGGGATGAATTTAACCGCGAGTATCTTTCCAGAGATCTTTCTCTTATTTTTCTTTTTCAGGTTTTTTTAGATATTACAAGATAAATAACATTTTTATTATTTATTTATTGGAGAATAAAATAATGATGTCTGGAGAGCTCTGTAGCGGTATATGAGTAATAACTTAATAACGGTGCTTCCATTGATCTTCACTCGATTGATTGAACAAGCTCTTATGGTATAGAAAGGATTTGAACTTGAAGAATTCGGAATCTTTCTAAATATAAGGAAATCAACGACATCATGACTCGGATTTTAAAAGTTATTATTTATATCTATAATATTAATCTATCATGGATTTTTATTTACCCTGCAACTTATTATTTTTTATAATATTGTTTAAATGCAATTCTCTTGGATTGGAAAGTCAAACCAATAAATTTCTTGGTTAAATTTGAAACATTTTTATATAATAAACATTTCTACCGAACCTAACCAATGGCAACGTGGTTTTTATATATTATTATTATGGTTTTGAAAAGAGATCTTTTCTTGGTTTTGTATTATGAGTTTATTGCGCCTCCGATTCATAAACAATCATCATTAATTAGTCGCATCATTTAAAATGGTTGGGTTCTCCAAACCTTTATTTTAATATTAATGTTAAATTACTTTTTTATGAGTGATTGATAAGAAGCTGATTCTTATAAACAAATTCCTCCTAGTTGTTTTTTTTTTCTTCCTCAAACTGAAGCAAAAAGCTCCACCATTCCAGAAAACTATAAGAAAAGAAAGAATATATCAATCCTAGGGTTAAGTTAAATGACCACCTATTGAAATTAGACACGCATGCCTGAACAGTGGTAGTTGGGTAATCTTAAAGAGTTGATATTATTGTTTAAAAAAATAAAATTTCTATATATAGGAGATCCACCAATATTTAAACTTTTTTGTTAAAATTTGAATTATGATATATCAATTTAATCGACCACCAATTTGTAATTCCACTAATCGATTAATTAATGGAGATGTGTTAATTAAATCCAAACTCACCAAATACAAAATTATACCGAACTCTATAACAGAGTTGTAAACATTCACCTAGACCATAAGATATTATTGCTATCAAATGATCTGAATAATCAGTATATATTTACCTACATAATATATATTATATATATTAGTAATATATTCTTCATGTACTATTGGTATATTGTATTCAAATTTTTTCATTAGTTTTTATTGGACAAGCAAATATGTTTTGATTATTTTCCTTCATATTGAATGAGATTTACAGAGTAGAATATCGATGGGAGCAATTTGAGGAGATGTTAGCAGTTTGAATTTTTTACTAATGCGGCTTATAGACCGTATTACATTAACTACTATTGCTTTTAATTTATATATTAAATTTTATTATTATAAATTATTATTTGTATTATTATTGATTTATATAATATATATATAATATACTATATAGAATTACTTATATATATAATTTTCATAAGTATATATATTGATTAAGGTTATGCCATTTAAAATATAATAAAATTAAATAATTAAAGTATGTGAGAATTAAAATCTCAATGAGGCAGTAAATATATCATCAGAAATAATAGGAAACAGGGTTTTGATAGCATAATTTCAGATTTCTCTACTTTTGCATGGTCAATTTGGAAGTAATAGTCCTGTTTTAGGTAGGTTAAAATTTGAACTTAAATTAATTAGATATATGGAATAATGCATTATTATTTCGCTCTAATTTTGTGGTTGAAATATGGTGAAAATTAATTTAAGGTGGAAGGATTCGCTATGATGAAGAATAATGTAGCATAAGGATCGATATTCACTAAAACAATAATGTTAATCATAGAAAAAACTATTGGGCAATACGAGTGTTTTCTTATCTATTTCTACCATTATTGAAGTGTATAATATCTTTGTTTATGATCTCTCAAAAATCCTATATAAAAATTCCTGAAATAGTTGACCAATATTAATATAATATCCAATTTGGGAATCACCTAATAAGAAGTTTAATTGTCTTGCTATAACATGCAGGTCCCTCAAAAGGCGCCTTTTGTAACTTCTTTTCCACTGGGATCTTCCTCACAGGTCTACAATGATAAACCTATGGTAGGCTTATATTTAAAACCGCTCTCCAAATCGTGTAATACAATTAATTATTTCAATGTCATAAATATTGGCACAGCTTTCTCGGATGATTGTTGTCTGGAAAGTTTTGTATATCGTCAATAAGGAAATCTTCTTAGGCTTTGTTATTTAGAAATACTTTTTTTGTTTTCAGACACATTGATCAGCATAACTAAGTAATTCTCCATATAGAATAACCACTTAGATATAGACCAACTGATTGGAAATTTATGCGATAGTAAAGAACTTTAACTGAACAACTTCCTATACCAATATTGTGGAATAGATTAACCGACTTCGAATCCATACATCATACTTAATTAGTTTAATACATATTGGAAGAATTTTTTTAATTTAATATAACACGAAATAGAACCTATATTATGCATGCGATGATTTCCCCCCCCAAGATTTTTTTTTTTTTTTTTTTATGCAAATACACTGATGTGGTAGAGAATTTTACATAAAAGTGTGAGAGGTCATGTTTATTGCTTTGCTGAAGTTCATTGGAAGAATTTTTAATTAATTAAACGACATGAACTATATATGCAGCGATGATTTCCAAGATTATGCAGAGCTTTGCTTTAAAAGATTTGGAGACAGAGTGAAGTATTGGATCACTTTAAATGAACCGTGGTCTTACATCTCATTTGCCTATGATCATGGCACTCATGCACCTGGCCGATGCTCGGCATGGTTGAATTCTGCCTGTCGATCAGGAAACTCCGCCACTGAACCTTACATAGTTGCCCATCATTTGCTCCTTTCTCATGCAGCAACTTATCACCTCTATAGGAAAAAATACAATGTATAAAAACGTTTGATCTCACTAATTATTACAGAACATTTTACAAAGTAAATTTTGATTATGTTTTATTTTCTTATATTTTCATTATTGAATGTAGAGAACTCAAAATGGGAAGATCGGATTAGCCCAGGTTACTTTTTGGTATGAACCTTACTCGGATAGCATAGCTGATAAGGAAGCAGCTGAAACAGCTCTTGATTTCAGTTATGGATTGTAAGTCTTTCTTCCAAATTTCGTAAGCTTTTCAACTATTATTATCATATATATACATTTTTCATGAATTATGATTACCAGGTTTTTCAATCCTATAACCTATGGTCACTACCCAAGGAGGGTGCAAGACATAGTTCGAGATAGGTTGCTCAAATTGACATTAAAGGAATCTCAGTTACTCAAAAAATCATATGATTTTCTCGGAGTACAATATTACACTGCAAATTATGCTAAAGCAAATGCTATAGTTCATACAGATCGTATTAGATACAGAACTGATCATCAAGTTATTGAAACTGGTGAGTATATTTATATATTTTGGTGGATGTTTTTTCCTAGTTGACTAGTATACTTTTAATTTTTTGATTTTACTTATTCACAGCTAAGGGTGAAGATGGTGAACATATTGGTCCACCGGTTAGTATTCAATATATTATAAAGAAATTCTTCTAATTGCATGTCTGGAAAATAATTAATAATATATTACTAATATTGAACAAATTAACTAACGTGTGCAGGCTCATTCACCTTGGTTTTACATTTACCCTAAAGGTATCCGATACCTATTGAACTATACCAAAGAAAAATACAATGATCCAATCATTTATATCACGGAAAATGGTAAGTTAACATTTTTTTTTTTCTGATTGAATTATATATTCTAACGGTAATTTGTTGTTGTAGTAAAATTTTAATTTCTTGATATACAATTTCGGCATATTCTATAGTATTAATAATTTATACTCTAGCAATATGGTCTAAGGGCATGTATGGGTCGGATCGAATTGAAGATTGCATAATCCCTATTTCAACCTGAAATAATGGAGTTTCACTCTTATCCCATTATATATATAGTCATGTACCATCTTATCCCATTCTTTGAGATGAAAATTCGAGTCTATAGGACAAAATATAATGAACCGTATCAAGAATTAATTATGGTTTTTCAGTCTCAATAAACTTTTTCTTTACTCAAAAAAGATAAAATTTCATTAATTATCAATCATAATCAAATAAAATTCATCAATAGAAATTTGAGTGAAAAGAAAAATAATAAAGCCAGATAATTCAATTATTGATCCCCTGCTAAAATCATGATAGAAGATATGTTAATTATTATTTTCTAGTTAATAAGAACATTAAGCTTAATAAAATAAAATAATTCAAAGACTCGCTACAATTTAATTTTACATATATTTTTTAAATTTTAACTTCATTATTTTTATTACTATTACTTTTAAGCTGATTCAAATTTTGATATTCACTTGATATTCCAAACATTATCTTAAAAATAGAATAATGATAACATTAAGTATAATCAGTAATTAAATTATAGTTAATATATGGATTAATCTTTCTATTTTTCTATTCAATAAAATTTCTTTAGAAAGATTTACTTAAGACATATGGAAGAATAATAGAGAAAAATATATTGTTGGAAATTTTATTTAATTAATTGATTTATTTTATATTTAGAAAAATGCATTTATTGTCTTTTATATTATTATTACTTTAATAAGTGATTAATGTCATAAAAAAACTGAAGATAAAAATGATGAAAGTGATTTTTTATAGACATGATGAGAATTTCTTGTCTCTGGGACAAGATGGGTAAGATAGAGCTTGGATCGGTACACATCGGTTTTAATCAAATAATCAATCATGTTTTAAATTATTTTTGGCTCACAATTTCAGATGAAATTATTAAATTAATATCAGATTTTTCATGGGATAGTTTTCAGGAAGATATTGGAATTTCTGTTGTTTAGTGCATACACTTAATATTTTCCAACCAAAGAATATATTAATTTAATAACAAAATTGAGGCGAAAATGAAATTTTTTATTACAATAATTAATAGAAAATTAGGAGGTTATTAATATACTTTAAAAATTTTGAGTTAATTAAAAGTATTTTATTGGTGCAATATATAATATAAGAAACTTTTGTATAAATTAATTCAGGGGTTGATGAGCACAATAACGAAACTCAAAGCCCGGAGGAAGCAGTTCAGGATCCATGGAGGACCCAATTTTATCAAACTCATCTTTGGAATGTGCTTGGATCCATCAGGTAAGTCCAATTGATTAGGAAGATTGTGATTTTCGTTATTCTTATTTGATATCATCCTCTAAAAATTAGTTAAAAACATTTTGAACGGGAGGATACATCCTTAAAATTATGGGATAATGTTAATTTTGGTGTTTATATTTGATTTTTTTTTTCTATTTTGTTTAAATTTATATTTTTTTTTTAATTTGGTGTCTCTTGATGACATACAACTGGAATGTCTAATGAGACTAGGTGGGATCCACATATACTTACGTATCCTCTTAAGTGGCCTGACATTTATTCTATATTAGCTGTCCAATGTAGCAAAAATAATGAAATTACCATTTAACCCCCATTTATTACCCTAATCTATCATCTTTCTTTTTCTTTCTTTCTCTCTGTTGGGATCTCTGCAACTCTTCTCTCCCTTCCATTGAAGGAGAGCAAGATAAGGAAAACAAGGAAACGAATTGTTTTTTTTTCTTTTTTGTATGCTGATCGTTTCTAACAACTGCTAGTTCTTAAGCCTGGCGAAACATTTCTAATAGCTCTCTTGGTCACTTTGCTTTTACCTCTGGTAACTTTTATTTCATATATATATATATACACATATATATATTCGTTCAACACTTCAATTTTTGAACTATTAATTTATTTATGATCCCAATAAATATTAATTTATTTTTGAACAATTATTGTATATTGATAAATTAATTTTGGATGCAGGGACTATAATGTCAATGTGAAAGGTTACTTTGCATGGTCATATTTGGACAACTATGAATGGGATATTGGATACACATCAAGGTTTGGTCTGTTCTATGTAGACTATAAAAATAACTTGGCAAGACACCCAAAGCAATCCGCAGAATGGTTCCAGAAATTCTTGAAAAATGAATTATCTATTGATAACATACCAGCAAGGCAATGTCACAGCGAGTTCACAGAAGCTGCTCAACAAAACTCCTTCAATGGATGCCAATAAGGACCTTTATAATTAGTTTCTCTTCTATATAATCACCGGACTTCTCCTTCAATAATGATCTAGTGACATTGCAGTAAAATTTGCAGTGATCATCATCCTCTGTGTTAAACTATTGGATACGTGCCTGATTTTTAGTTAGTTGCTTGAAAATAGTACGTATTTGGATAATAGTAAACTTTCTTTATCCCTTAAATTGGATTTCGACAACCGAGAGCATTCTACCTGGTTTAACGACAGCTACCCAATATTCGGGAGATCCTTTCCCCGAACCCATACGTGTTTCTGTAGGTCTTAAAGTAATTGGTTTGCATAATGTGCATGACTTATGTTATTAATAAAATTTTTACGTACCATCGTCCCGAATCTAGGTAAGTTTAATCCCCTTATATGAATAAGACGGATTTACAATTTGTGTATAGGACCATCCATATAATAAACCAATCAAAGAAATATGTTTTAAAGATTTATCACCATTTTTTTTTTCTAGTAAAATAGTTAAAAATACCTTAATTACAATTAAAAATTTATTTTTGATTAATTTAGTTTATAAATGCAACCATACACCGGCACTAAGTAAATCTTCCCTCCTTATCATGTCTCCACTCTTATAAATCATTAAAATTTTGACGTCTCCTTCACCAACAGCGCCCATCCAAATGTGCTATGAATTAGCAGTAAAAATAGGTGTTGAACACTATCCTTAAGGAATATATGCCCTCACGTTTTTTTACGATCGATAAAAGAGGGTTGCTAAAAGTAGAGGTACACGACCTCCTTTTACTGAAAAGACCTCTCTTGGACTGGAAAGTAGCACAGGAAAGTATGAAATGCTCATTTGCTAGTTAAGTGGATCCTTTGGCAAGTATATTCTTTCCTTGGCAGTACGGAGTCTACATTTATAAGGAAGTCTGGGGGCTCCCAAGTATAATGTTACTGGGTTGTAAAAGTGAACGAACATGAGCAAAACACAAAGAAAACCCTAAAACTCAAAAACAAAGAAGCTGCCGTTCTAAACCAAAGAAAATCCTAAAACCCAAACACAACATTTTCTATTTATACCAAACCCACATGCCATACCCATTTTACTTAACCCAAACCCATATAATAAACCCAACCAACCCATTAACCCATATAACAAACCCATTTTACAGCTGTAATTATGTTACATGAGGAAATGTACAATACAGTAGGTCCTAGAATTAGAATATACTACACACTTGTAAATATAAATAGAACACAATGTACAGCTTTCAAATCAGAGAAGAAATATATAAATTCTTCATCTATTTTTGTTTTTTCTGCTTTTCTGTTCATGGTATCAGAGCCTGATCTGGTATCTGAAATTCTAAAGCTTCATTCAAGCTTCTTTTCCTGAAATCAATGGCAGAAAATATTAACCAAAATAATGAAAACACAAATACTGAATTAGAAACTTATAAAGTTTCTGCATCTGAAAACTCAGCTTCAAACCTCATTAATATTTCCTTGAATGGCCGGAATTTCTTGTCATGGAGCAGATCTATGACCATAGCCTTAAGGGTCAGAGACAAGTATGAATTTGTCACTGGTGAAGAACAGGAACCTGTAGCTGGATCTCCATTGAGAAAGAGATGGCAAAGAATCGACAATCTGGTAACATCTTGGATCCCGCACTTGTATTGCAATATTATTTTATTAATTATTATATTAATTTTTTATAAACTATTATAAATTATCAAACTGTTAAGAATAATAATCAAAATCCTACTTAAAATAAATAATAATGATCAATATCAAAATGATTTGTAATAAACATTTGCAATAGCCTAACATTGTAATTTATATTATCAAAGTAAAACAATAGTGGATGAACTAACCATATGTTGTTACGTGGCAAATGACTAATTAAAATAAAACTTAGAAAATTTCATTATTTAATACATTCAAGTATTTAGAATTGATTTTAAATAATAGCATAGGCGCTCGAAATAGAAATTTATAGAGAAAATCATTAAACATTAGAGCTTGCCTTTCAGTTTGCGACTGAATTACTGCGGATTTGCGACCGATTTTGCGACCGCTTTGCGACCAACTTTGTTTCTGTCGCAAAAATGGGCGCGTAAAAAAAAGGGACACAATCTGAGACCGAAATGAGATAAAATTGCGACTGATTTTTTGCGACCGCATATTTCAGTCGCAGATCGGTCGCAATTTTGGCGCATATTAAAACGATGTCGGACAATTAAAATTTGCGACCGATTTAAATGACATTTGCGACCGATGAGTCGGTCGCAAATATTAGGGCTTTAAACGCGCCCTCTTCTTTTCCTTTAGCTAGGAGGCAAAGAAAGTAAATGTGGACAGTTCGTGGGATTCTTTGCTTCAGAAGGTAGATAGCTGTAGTTTTACTTCTAGAATAGTTGATTAGATTTTAAAAACTTATCAATATTTATATTAAATATTAAATTGAAAATTTGTTTGAGTTGACCAATCAAAATACAGAAAAATAAAAAAAAATTAATTTTTTTAAAAAAGAAAAAAATAAAGTTGAATGAAGAGAAGGCCTCAAACCTTCTCTTTGTTTCGCTTTTATATAGATATATAGATTAGCAAAATTTTGAATTTTTTATCTTTTGAAAATTAAATCTGCGATTTTTTTTTATTTTAAATATATTAAAAATTTATATATAGTATATATATCTATCTATAAAAATATATAATTTCTAAAGTAATGGATGTTGAGGGAGAACATCTTAGAGTATGAAAGTATTCTTCTGGCGTTTTAACTTTTTCGCATTATAATTAATCTTGTTTTCTTGCATTTAATAAATATTAAGTTTTTTTTTTATTAAGCAATGGAGTTATAATTAATAACATTAATCAAATAATGGATTTATAATAATAAGGTTAACTAATAAAATAAAATATAATTTCATTTCATTAAGATTAATTGCATTATCATTAAATCTTTATATATCTCTTGTAATTATATAAAAAAAAAGATTTGAATTGAATGTATGAGAATTTCAAAATGAAAAAAATAAATAATTATGTCAGTCGAATTAAAATAATTTAATTACAATAATAAATATTTCAGTTTATTAATTAAAAAATTATCATATTTAAGTAATGATCATATAATATCATCTTTCGTTATTTAATCAAAATATATAAATAAATTATTTAAATTAAAAAATACAAATTTAAATCGCAGTAATTTCATTCATTTAAATTTATTAAAAAATATATAAAATTACATAATTCGCGTATCATGTTATACATGAATAATTTATCTATAAAATTAGAATAAACCATCAATAATAGAGGGATGGAGTTGGTAAAAAATCATACGTACAAAGATTCCAAATAACATTAAAAAAATCTTAAGAATTCTTTAAAATATTTAAATAAAAATAATTAATTGTACAAATATAAAATTATAGTAATAAACAAACAACAAAAGATTCCCAAACTTAATTGGTTATCTGGACGAGGAAAGTATTGATTTTTGGTAGATTCTATTAGCATATTTACATCAATATGATAAATATTTTTTATTATTAATTTTTTAATAATTGTTAAATTATGAAATAATGTGGCACCAACTCCTTCTTTATTTAATAATTAATTCACTTTCAGAAATTATTGTCGGCAAGTCTAACCATCTTACGTCAAAATATAAGAATAAAAATACGTTGAAAGCACAACAAATATATATATAATTTTTATTTGTCATTCTCAATAATAACTTACTTGTCATTGTTGTTTACAGTTGCATTGACAAGTGGTGTTTTGTTATTTATTTTTGTTTTGTTAATTTATTTTTTAATAATTTCCACCGTTTCTAATGGATAACGACAACTTGTTTGAAAATGCTTTCATTATATTTCAATTAAAATATTTTATTAAATAATTTTAACATTATAAGTTAAATAAAAAAAGAAAAAGTTAAACGGCTAGTTAATAAGAAAAGATAGAGGTGGGCTCATTGGGGCCCAATTTAATAAGGCGATGGTTTAAAGGGCCTAAAGAATTATGGGCTTTTATAAATACGCGTTGTTTAGTTATAGTAATTATCAACATGTACTTCCTCCACTACTGCCTAAGTTAAAATTAAAAAGAAACCCTCACTAGAATTGAATTTTGCGTTTTAGGTTAATTGAAATTGAATTTGAATCAGGGTTGTGATAATTGTAATGAGTGCTGCAGTTTTTTATCCTAACTTTTATCCTAACGTGCCACTTTGTTGTGATAATTGTTGTTTGAGCAAGTCCTGTTAATGATGAGTTTGGATTGGAGGCCTAGTAGTGGCCATTTTGCCTTTGGAGAATGTTGAATGTTTTGATAATGTTATTAGAAGTGGTGTTTATTGAAGTGTCTTTGTATTTGAGATTTGATTGTGTTGTGCCGAAATGCTGCCGAATTCTTTTCCAAAAAATTCAATATGTGGAATAGTACACTTACCTTTATATAAGTAGGTTTATATATTATTATATAACCTTTGTATTGAATAAATGAACTTAGTGATTTTACATTTATATATAATTATCCTTATTATAGAAATAACCTTAGTTAGAAGTGTAAATTGAACATTACATTGTGGCATGTTTTAAGGATGGTTTAGTCTAATGGAATTACATATAATTTGCCCTTTATAAACACAGTGTTTGCAATTACATGACACGAACCTTTATAAACACATTGTTAATTAGGTAAAAAAAATGCAAAATAATCGAGATTGGATGTACTTGAAGTTCGAGGTCAATGGGATATTAAGACGAGTTCCTGCAAGGATGGGAGGCGTTTATACAGTTTGCAGTTGGTAATCCCAGTTTTATGGATGGTAATAAGTTGAGGTGTCCATGTAATCACAAGAAGTGTCGAAATCGAGCCTAGCCTTCTTAGATATCTCTTGACATCGATACAGTGGAAACTTCATTGTTGCAAAAATGGGGGTTCGTGGAAATATTACGAATGGATACATCATGGTGAATCTCGAGTTGCCAGTGGTGTCAGGCCACCCTCCCCAATTTTCGGTAAAGTTTTAGAAGTTCAGCCCTTATCAATTTCTGTATGGTAATCAATGCAATGAATATGGTAATCGATGCGAAGTATAGTACAATTGATTGGGATATA